AAGTTTGATGGGAACACAGGAGGAAAAAAAAAAAAAGTTTGATGGGGAAGAGTCAACCTTTGTTTCAAACTGCCAAGGGCACAAGAAAAAAGAACACAAGTTTTGAAACATGATTTGTGTTGACTCCTAAACAAATGTCTAACTCTTGGCTCTAACTAGCCCTTAAAGATCATGATAGCACTACCTTCCTCTGTCATCAACAGAGTGGTCCTTCAGTTTGGCAGCAGGAAGCCTTGGAGGGGTCATTTGACTGTGATGGCTCTGACCCCACAGCTTGTCTTGTTGGCATTGATGGGGCTTGCATATGGGAATGAATTTAATGCAGACCCAAATTTATTGTGCAGATTCCTTAATTTTTGTTTTCAGAAGATGGCTTATTCAAATAGAAAGGTACACTGGCTTTTACATAGTCCTCCCTTTACCTTAATATGTATAAAAGCTTTAAAATAACTCATGCAAAATAAAACAGGTGTCAGTTGGTGAGTCAATAGTATCAATAGTTCTTTTTCATTTTCCAGGATACAGCATTTTGGGTCTTGGGCAAAAAGGCAGTTAACATCACCCAGTAGAACCTGATTTTGGCAGTGAAGAGGAAAAAGTGATCAATACAGCTAAGATCATTGTTTTTCAAGTCAGCATTAGGACTGCAGGAAAGCGACGGTGTTTCTAATTTAACAGTCTAGAACCACCCTTCTTTTCCTTGCCTCTCCCAATCTTCTTTCTGAAACATCTTGGAGTTCTACACAAATCCAGGTTACTGTAGTAAAATTTACAACTTCAAATGTGTGGAATTCCTCTCTTATATGAAAAGTTTTGAGAACCACTGCCTTAAATGGGATTTGGAAACTTAGGATGTCATCCTAAGCTTCACTGTTAACTACTTTAAGAATCATTTGGGGCATTAAAAAGGTACTAATTAGAGAGAGACTCTTGGACTTGAGGCCTTTGGTTAAATATGTAGTCAGTTCTTGCTACAACACATAAGGTTAGTTCACTCTGTTCTCAAGCAGAGGTCTGTCAAAGTGGGTGCTTCTGGAGGCTGGATTGACCTTGTGTCTGTTGCTTGGGCAGGGATACAGGTGTACAAGCAGCTGCAGCACATGCAGGAGACGGGGCAAGAATCTTTTGGGCCTCTTGAACAGACTGGGTCTTCATTGTTGTCTGTTTAGTTTTACTCTTCTTGGCAAATGAAACCACAGCTCTATGGGAATTGTCGTTTCCCCTCCCCAGGGCCAGGTTCAGACAGTTCTCGCAAACATTCTCTCATCATCAGGCTCTTCTTCATTGCTACTTCTCTGCTGGAAACCTATTTGGTTTTCACATGTCTTTAAAAGAAAAAGGGAAACAGCCTTCCTTCAATGTGACTATTATTCCAAACTACTTTTCCCCCCATTTCTTTTTAACCTCATTCTAAAAACTAGTCTTTATATTTGCTTCAGCTTCAACTCACTTTTGCACCCATAATCTGTGCAGAGAAGATTTACCTAAACTCTCTTCCAAGAGTTTTCATTGACATCTTTGTGGATAAATCAGGTGATTCTTTTATAGTCCCTTTCCTCTTGCTCAAACTTCACTTCATAACAACACTGCCTCTTCCAGTCCTTTGGATGTTTTTTATTAGTTCCACAGCTTCATCTGTGTTCCCAAAATATGGATGTTTTGGAGGCCTGGGTCAAATTGTGACTCTACTGTTTAGTAGTTATCGTCATCATCAATTGTATCACGTGTGCATTCATGGCTTTGGAACAGGATCTGGCAACGCTGTCCAGTGTCCTTTTGCATGCTCCCAGAGTGAAAGGCCTGAGGAGCACTTTGCATTAACTCAAATGCGTGTTATGTAGCAGGCCCAGGACCTCTTGAGTCCCTCTCAGCTGCAGTTCTTCCTGGCCCAGAGTTGCACCCAAACCACTGAAGAGATCTGTTTCTGCTCAGAGAGGCAGAATAAGAATTAATGTCTTCTTATTTTAAAAACTAGCAGGAAAAAAATTAATCAGATTTTTACTGGTTATCCAAAGACAAGAGTCGATCTTTGGACATGTTAACATAACGTGTTCTATCTGCTCAGTCACACTCACATGGAAATTGTTGACTCAGCTGATTGATCCTATTAACGAAAAAAGAAACTGAAAGCCTAGGGCCATTCCATAGTCCATGCCATAAAGCCAGGGCTCTTGCTGGCTCATAGTACACTGTTCACATAGTATAAAGTCATAAAACCAAGGAAGGACCTGTGGCGGTCACATGATCTTATATGGGTTTAGAATGCTGGGAGGAGGAGGGAATTTTGGGTAAGTCTAGCATTTTCTGGCTCCAACCTTTTACTTCTTCCCTGGACTAGATATGTACATGTAAATTTTCAGGAATTCTATATTTTGTGCTTTAAGGTTTTTTTGTTGTTGGATTTTACTTCTTGTTGAATACCCTGGGAAGAACAAAATAAAGTTAACCCTTTGCACTCCGAACCATTCTGGACATTGGCTACCAGCTACTCGATGCTAACGGCAGAAACGTGCGTTGAATTAACTCAATTCCCCGTAATCACTAATAAACTGCAATGTCCCCTGAGAGGGGACATCCGAGTGATATGCTAGAATTCCGATGTCCCCTGAGAGGGGACAGCAGAGTGCAAAGGGTTAATTGAACCATTCTTTTGGACTCACTAAGGAGTGGTCAGTGTTCTCTTGAAGGGAAGACGTGCTATGCTTAGTGTTCTGAAGGTCTTGTGCTGAGTTTATACCAATCCAGCCTTCTTTGGGGACCTCTTGTTCTCAAGACATTCTGTGTCATTCATTAAAAGTTATCACCCTGAACATTTCCAAGTGTTCCATCATTCATAGATTTTGCTCTTTTCCCCCTCTTCCCAGGTTCAAATGAATAGTTAAATAAGAGCTAATGTTGCTTTCTGGGAATTGTTAATTGAAAACGATAGGCAAATTTAAAGAGAGCCTGCAATGTAAATATGCATAGCAATTAGATGGATCAGTGACGGAGTATATAGAATTTGGAGGGCTAGGTAGCTTCTGAAAGACATTCTAGTCAGATAAGTAATTGCCACAGAGAGAAATACTTTGTTTGCTGTCACAGCCCATTAATGACAGAGGCTGGTGCACTGTCTCCTGGATTCCTAAGCTCTTCCTTGCCGCTCTGCCACCTAACCTTCAGAACCATTTTTATCCCATATCTAGCATCCAGGGAGGCAGGGTAATTAGCCCCTTCTAATTATGTGTCCTTTTTTTCTCATTTAATCACTTAATAATTAGCCCTAATAAGTCCCCTGTGGCAGAAATGGGGAAAAGCCTCTGAAGTGGCCTTGCAACCAGAGTTGCAAGCCCACATTGCTAGGTACTCATTCTTCCTATATCAGCTGACTCACTTAACTAGAGAAATACAGTTGGCTTCTCCATCCTTGTGCCTTTTCCTATGCTCTTCTCCTGGCCTGGAGGGACCCTTTTCTACAAATTCCACCTCAGTCTAACCCAGGGTTCACTATTTGTGTGTGTGTGTGTGTGTGTGTGTGTGTGTGTGTACGTGTGTACGTGCTTGCGTGCACACACAGAGCCAAAGCCCTAATCAGGGGCCATCTTTCCTGTGGCCTCCCTAATCTGCTTAATTCCTAATCTGTACTACACAGGTTACAGTTATTGGTACTGCCCTGTGATTTGTCTGTGTACCGATATATTTATCTCAACTAGACAGTAAGTAAGCATCTGGGCTGAAGAAACCATGACTAAATACATTTGGTTTTCCCACAATACCTTGCACATAATTCACATCAGATAAAAATGGTCAAATATGAAGTTTCCTTTTGAGGAAGTTGCCTTAAGAGTGCTATCAGAGGAAAGCAAGCCTGGAAGTTCTAGTACTTGTGAGGGCGGCCCAGGCCTCACACACTTCTCTGATATCCAGCCTAGCCTGGGGTCTATAAATTGAGGTTGTCAGGATTTACTTACAAGTGGATTTAGTTTTGCTAGCTGAGTGTGAATGTTTTCTTTGCCCCTTTACCCCTGCTGTGTTCTGGTTACTTAGGACCCAGTGGGGTTATAATATAGAACTGGTCAAGTTTGCCCTACCCTGAGGAAAAAGCTTTGCTACTTCTCAGCACCCTGATGGCATGAAGGCACACTTCAACTACTGGACAGCACTGCCCTTGGCTTCATTTCCTTTGCCTTTGTACCATCCCACCAGTTCAGCTGGTTGGCTGAAGGGGGGTCTTCCAGGCAAGGGTGACCTCCAGGGACAGAGTAACCTGACATCCATTTTATTGGTTCATTAACTTACTCCTCTGACAGACAGTACCTAGGCTACCGTGGGCATGGTGTAGGTGTGGCTGCTTCCTGAATTGGCCCAATCTCATGCCCTTCCTGTGTTGACATCAAGCTCTGACAGCCTGCACGACAGTCTTTCAGCCCGGAAGGCTGAAGTAGTGACACAGCAGTGTGGCTTAATTGGAAATAATTTCAGTCTGAGGATTTGGCTGAAATCTAGGGCCTTCTTGAAAAACTTTGTACTCACTCCCATCCTGAGCCAGCTTGCTCTTATCTTCCTGGCACGGCCACCGGTGGTCAGGCCCTAGCAGAGAGTGAGTAGCATAAGCTCTCAGTTAAGTAGTATTTTCATGTTTTCAGACATAGCCAGGCTGAAGACTTGAAAGCAACGTAAAGAACCAAAGGGGATGGGAGGAGTGGAGTACAATCTCAGGAGCTGACGGACCTGAGTTTAAATCTAGGCTCTCCCACTGTCTAGCTGGTGATTTTGAATAAGCCAGTAAGCTCTGAGCTTCGGGTTCCTGTGGAGCTACTTCTGAGTGCTGGTGAGGTAAGCCATTTCAAGCACCCTGACTGGCACACAGAGACTCTCAATAGCAATAACTTTGTTTCCTCAGCCTGGTCCCACCTCACCCTCCTGCCTTCCTGCCCCCATGCCGCTGTTGCAGAAAGACATACTTTCCTCACTGCTTGGACTAGGTCTTTATTTTGTTCCCTTTGCTTTTTCTCGTATTGCAACAGGCATCCCGGGCCCAAATCCTAGACAAAGCCACAGAGTATATCCAGTATATGCGAAGGAAAAACCACACACACCAGCAAGACATTGATGACCTCAAGCGGCAGAATGCTCTTCTGGAGCAGCAAGGTGAGCTCCTGAGCCTGTGGGGCAGCTGGCCCTGCTGCGCTCTGGCCAGGTCAGGGCTGTGCACCTGGGCCTGCAGAATCAGAACCGGGAGTGTGTGCTCCGAAGCGGCTGTGGCCCTGCTTCTGAGTAGCTGAGTGTTAGAGCCATCCTGAGGAAGTACCTGAGCCGCCAGTGAGAAATAGTAGAGTCTAGGGTTTGACATCTGGAGACGTTTCTGAGATGATCTCTCCCCTTCTTGGGGCTTAGGTGCTCTGCCTGTAGTAGCAGGCACACCTGGCAGCAGGTGTCTGAAAAGAGCTGAGGTCCTTGGATTGGAGTGTGCTGTGTAAGTACCAGAAATCCAGGTGTTCAGGGTCAGTGAGCTCTCCCATTGCCAATGGTAGTCCACTCAGGGCAGCCTATGGGCCAGGCCCATGCTGTTCTCCAATGCTCACATCCGCCTTTTCCTACAACCACAGGGGAAAGCGAGAGCTGATCAAGTTCTTTGTTCCTGGGGAATTCACTTCTCTTCCTCCCTCATGGAAGATGCAAGTAAAAAGAAATGCAAGTAACCACTTGGGTTAGAACACCTCAAATAAAATAAAATAATATAAATGGGTTGACCTTGCAGGCTCAAGATGAGCTAAACTGAGGGATGGGCAGAGGGAGGCAGCAGCGGGTTGGTTCCCGGGCTGAGCAGCCTGCATGTAGGGGCTATGTGTCAGAAGGCCCAGGTATTCTGTGTATTGGTGACTTGCTTCCAAGTGTCCAGCTTGTCTTCCCAAGTGGATCTGGTACAAGAGAGCTAAGCCAAACCTTTCTTTGGCTGATACATCTTGCCATCCTTTCCTGCTGTTGTGGGGCCTTCACACCTTTATGGATCCTAGCACTGCCAGGCCAGCTTCTCCGCTGTCACTGCGCTGTTGGGTCCCACAGGGAGCTCCTGTCTCAACACTGGGCTTCTAAGGCAGGACGGTGACATCACAAGCCTTCTCTTTAGGGTTGAGTGGCCTTGCAGAGTAGCTGGCCATGTCCACTAGGCTCCAGGTCTGGCTGGGAAAGGAGGGAGATGAAGTGTTGCTGGTGGAACAGCACCAGAAGAGAGTTATTTCTGAGCCTCAGGGCCCAGCAAGCCCTTCGGAAGAACAGGCTGGACCCTGACCTGAGACTCAGTTATTCCAGCTTCTCCTCTGTCTCAGAGGCTGTAACCCGCTCGCTTGGTTGCTTTTCAGTCCGTGCACTGGAGAAAGCGAGGTCGAGTGCCCAACTGCAGACCAACTACCCCTCCTCAGACAACAGCCTCTACACCAACGCCAAGGGCAGCGCCATCTCTGCCTTCGATGGGGGCTCGGACTCCAGCTCAGAGTCGGATACCGAAGAGCCCCAAAACAGGAAGAAACTCCGGATGGAGGCCAGCTAAGCTCTGCCGGGCAGGCCAGCAATAAAAACTGTCTGTCTCCTCCGTCGTCTCATCCTCCTTTCAGTTCATCCTTAGAACCCTCAGAACCATTTAAGAGACTCTTTTTTTCTTTTCTCTCTCTTTTTTTTAAATTTTATTTTTACATAGAAGCTCTTGGACAACAGCTCTCGTTCTCCTTCCCCATTTCCACTTTTTTTTTTTTTTTTTTTTTTTTTTTTTAATGTTTCCCTTCAGGGATTCCCTGTCCCCACCAGGAATTTTTAAACCAAAACACCCCAACTTGGCAGCTTTTTCTGTGGAGGACAGACGGCCGGCCGGACCTCTGAGCACATGGTGTCCTGACCACCCACCAGCTCCTCCAGCCCTGCCGGGCACAGGCCCGGAGGACTCCTGCCCCTCCCCGGGCCACCCTCGCCTCTGTTTGATAGACTTTGTGAATCTGTGGACTGCTCTGCTTTGAGAAGATGACTGGTTTAAGAAGTGATGAGAATTAAAAAGCTATTTATCGCTCCTGTTGAAAGACCAGATCCTTGAAGAAGTTTGTGGTATGAACGGAAGTGGGGACAGAGTTGCAGCACAGTCTTGGGCCTGTTTCACTCCTGCTTCTCTCAGCCAGCCTTCGGAGGGCCGTGGGACACTCGTGGTGTGGGGGACGTCAGCCGTGAAGTGGCCGCCAGAGGGTGCTGGGGGCGGGAGGGCGAGGAGGGAGGAGCGGGTGGGGTAGAGGTTTTGTACTGAGGGCCAGTGATGATGTTTTGATATTTATTTCCTGCTACTGAAATTTGAATCTGAGTGAATTGTCCCTATTTCTGATGATGTCGGTATTGCAAAGCGACAGATTCATAAAGTAATGATCAAATCTTCCTTTCCGTGTGTATTTCTAAGAAATAGAGCCAACTGATTTTGTATGTAAATACCAAGAGCAATTTATCTGGTACTAAACCCGCACCCTAGTGCGGCCCCTTCCCACCCTCACCCCACATCCTCTCTGACTGTTCTGGAACCTGTCCCCACGGTGACCCAGCCCTGGTTCTGGCTGCGGTCAGCAGCTCCCAATGAAGGGTTGTGTGTGTTTAGGCCTCATTTCTTTGTCTTTTTCCCACTCCGTTCCTGGCATTTGCTGATTTCTAGTGTATACTCTGTAGTCTCAGTCCGTGTTTGATTCCATTCCATGGAAATAAAAAGTATGTTGTACATACTGCCGAAGAATTGTCTTGCAAGTTAAGGCTTCCCCCTTTACTATAAGACTATAAATAAAAACTTATTTTATCCTTCTTGGTGGTGGTGTCTTCTTGCCCTTGCAAAGGCCAAGATGCTTAGGAAAAGAGCCCTGTGGAGGCCCCTAGGCTTGCGTGGAAGCCTGAGAGAGGAGCGGAGGTCACTTACGTGGCCTTACAAAACTGAGAGCAGCCATAAGCCAGAGCAGTTCCCTTTTTATATTTGTGCTCAGCTTAGCCCAGACAGGGCAGGGGGTGGATAAATTGGTGGTGGTGGTGACTTTGCTCATTGGATAGAAGCTTCTATTATTTTTTAAATATTTTTATTGATTTCAGAGGGAGAGAGAAACATCAATGATGAGAGAGAATCATGGATCGGCTGCCTCCTGCACGCGCCCCTCTTCCTCCCCTCCCATGGGGACCAAGCCCACAATCTGGGCAAGTGCCCAGTCCAGGAATCGAACAGTGACTTCCTGGTTCATAGGTTGACACTCAACCACAGAGCCACACCCGACTGGGCAGATAGAAGCTTTTAAAGTTCCAACGGGGATGGGGTTATTCAGGGCAGCATTTCTAGACCCAGTTCCTGCTAAATAAATGACTCTTAGGGAGTTGGTAGCCCAGAGCTGTGGGTTTGCGTTTCTCCTGGTAATGAATGCCCACTTCAAAGGCGACTGGTGTCCTCTAGGACCTGTCAGTTTCTAGCGGTTCCAACATAGTTAGAGGAAGCAGCAGAGCTGGCAAGGGCTGGAAGTAAAGAAGGCTTCAGCAGCATCAAGTGAGGGACCAACTCCAGCCCAAACTTGTCTGGCCTTGAAAGGAAAAAGGTTTCTGGCCGGGACACAGCTCAGCTTTGGTTTTCCTGTCTGGCTGGCAGGAAATACTGCTGTACCTAGAGCAGGAGAGTGAAGTCAAATCACTTCTTTGCTTTGTCACTCTAGAATGGTAGAGCTGGACCCCTATCAGATCCACAGTACCTCTTTTTGGTTAATGGGAGTTACAAGTGGGTCATGATTCTACAAGAGGCAGTTTGTAACATGATCAAACTCCTTCTCCCAACCATGATTGTAATAGGGGAAGCAAGGATATTGGGAGCAATTGGAATGAGAAGTCAGGTGATTTCTTAAGCCCTCAAAGTCAGCATGCTTTCCTCCCCTTTTTCATTGCTTTTTACTATATCTCTTTGCATGTCTGGCCGTAATTATAAATTCCACATCGCACCCAGCTGGCTTGGTCGGTGTAGGCATTAGAACTGATTCAGGTTCTAAGCCGGGATGAGATGCAAGGATGTGAAGCTGGGCGCCCAGTAGGCAGGGAACCAGCAAAGTGATAGGCAATGTCTCTGAGAGCCAGCTCCTGGCTCCAGCATATTAGCTGGACAAGGGGTTACATTTTAGGCTTCTCAAAATGTCAATAAACCTGTTGGAAGAAGAGCCACAGTGGATAGCTGACTCAATTGGGAAATCGGAAGCCCTTGACTGACTTGCTGAGCAGACTGGCATGTGGGGGGAAAAGTGGTACAATGGGAGCAGCTGCCTGGAGAGAAACACGGTAAGAAACCCATGCTAGAGATTTCTAAAGGGGACTAGTGAGAGTCACAGCCACGCTCTGACTGTGAACCAGTGTTCACCCACCAGGACAGCGACGTCTGACTGGTTTACTCTCAGACATCAGTGTTATTCTCTGGTTTGTTCTCGCTGTTGCGCTCTGGATAGCCCCATGCAATGCCAGAGAACCTGGTGACTCCCTGGGTTATTGCAGCAGATGGCTTCGCTGAGGGTCCTGTTAAAAGCCCTGTCTTTTTCTTAGGGTGAACTTGATGTTTTCCTATTTTTACAATTAATTGCCCCAAGTAAAGGTATTTTAAATGGCTCAGCTTAAAAAAAAAAAAAAAAAAAAAAAAAAGGAAAAGAGAGAACTCATGGACTTGGACAATAACGTCATGTTAGTGAGTCGGGGAGTCAGAGGGCATAGAAGGGATAAATGGTGGTGGAAAAAAAGAAAAAAGGCCCAGCTTTTGTAGAGGAGCTACAACTTCTGCAAAGAATTACCTCCGCTCACAGAGCTGTCCTGGCTGAGAAGGTTTAAAGCACAAGACTGAATAGATGCTAGAACAGAGTAGTGTTCGATGTGTGGCCTGAAGTCAGACTGCCTGAGTTCAAAGTCCCAGCTCTGTCCATAGTGGGGGAATCTCAGGTAGGTTACTTCTCTCGGCCTTGGTGTCCTCACCTGTAAAATGATAATAGTACTAACCTCGTAAAGTGCTTGTGAAATATGCTTATCATGTGCTTGACATTGGGACCAAGTGAGCACTCAGGTAGGCGCCAGCTGTCTTTACTGACACACAGCGTGTGACCAGACTGAATCTGCAGGATGGAGAAATCCAGCCCCCAAGGCCCTCTCTGCAGAGTAGGAGGGTGGGCTTCCTGATGTCTCGCAAATGCTTCCCGACCCCCAGACGTGCCCTCTTCTTACAAGGCAGAGCAAGAGAATAAAGGGAACCCCAAGACTGGACAGATGCGCACTTCAAAACCGAGGAGGCCCCATGGCTGCCTGGGTCAGATCTGGTGTTAGTCCAAGCGAGATTGTGCCATTCCCTCCTCCCGCCATTCAGTGGTGCCTCTGAACTTGTGCTATGGAACAGTCTGCCCGGGAAGAATCACTCCGAAGCCCCCATGGTGTGATAACCAAGTGGGGCCCTTAGGCCCTGCCCAGGGGTGCTTGTTGAAAGGAGTCCAGGGCTCCCCCTCCCCTGTCCTAAAGCATCCTGTGGCCCAACACCCAGACTGACTTTAAGAAGCTCTGACTCCCAAAAGTAAAATATCCCAGAGAACAAAAGGAAGCCAGGAAGCCGTTGAGGAAAGTGAGCTAAGGAAGACTGAATTAGCAAAGTGTGGCTGAGGCCAGGCTCTCTGAGGCCGCACTTGGACAAAGAGGAGGGACGGGGCAAGGGGTTGGGAGTGAAAATAGTCCATTTGATGGTGTTAGTGTTTCCCTTCCCCCAGGGGGGCTCGAATACTCATCTGGCCAATGGCTGCCCAGCGCCCAATGGGGCAACACCTGTTTTTACGCCATGCACTGGCTGTCCTCCGGTCACCAGGCAGGTTGAAAAGCCAGCCAGAGCAACGCTCTCTCTCAAGCTCTTTCCCAGGCTCCATCCTGGACAGTCTCCGGGAATGAAACCAGAGCCTTTTTTGTTGTTCAGATCTGTTTCTCTGGCCTGTGGAGGAAACTCAGGTAGGGAAGTTTCCCAGCCTCCACACGGGATGTGCTGGCGAACACCATGGGAGAGCAGGACCCTTCTGAGGCATTGCTAGGTCGTCCCTGGGCAAAGGCAGAATGTCCTTTAGAGTCAGGGGTTTACTAAGCCCCAGACTTTCCCAGGCTATAGACAGAAATGCATAGCTTCTAGTTAATTCCTCAGGTAGGAAATCAAATTGGCCGAACCCTCCATCCCTGGACCAGTTTGAAGAAGCAGGTTTGGCCGAAACCGGTTTGGCTCAGTGGATGGAGCATTGCCCTGCAGACTGAGGGGTCCAAGTTCGATTCGGGTCAGGGGCATATGCCTTGGTTGCAGGCACATCCCCAGTAGGGGGTGTGCAAGAGGCAGCTGAACAATGTTTCTCTCTCACCGATGTTTCTAACTCTCTATCCCTTTCCCTTCTCTCTGTGAAAAATCAATAAATATGTGTGTGTGTGTGTGTGTGTGTGTGTGTGTGTATGTATATATATATATATATATATATATATATATATATATATTTATTCATTTATTTTTTTTAAAGCGAGTTTTGGAAGCTCTCCCAGCAAGCCGCAGTCACCCACAATGTCATGTCACTGCTTTGCAAGGTCAGGGTGGGGCACGGAGATTCAGAACCGGAGCCAGGTGGTTAGGTCACAGCCTCTGAGCCCACCTGTCTGAATTGGCTCTGAGTGACACTGCCCTGGCTTCCTGAAGCATAACATGAGGACAACAGCAGCACAGAGGCATAAGGTGTGCGAAAGCCCTTGACCCGTGCCTGACTCTTAATAAGTACTCAAATATTCACAATTCCTAGGTCTGTGTCCCGTCATAGGGCCGGACAGTGAGCCCTTTCTGTTTGAGTTATGTTAAAATATGGAGTGAATAAATCCCATCCTTCAGTGTATTCGAGTCCTTAAAGGGGAAGTAAATGCATGTTGAATACCAAAGGCTGATAACTAAAATGCTTTGCTTGGTTTCTGAAGGAACTCATGAAAGACCTGAAAAAAATCTGGACTTGGGAAATGAAATATGCCCTTGCTGGCCGGATCAGAATTATTGCTTTGTACTGTTCTCCTGGTTCAGGCCTTGTTCTGCAGTGCCTAGTGGTCTGCACCGTGGTAGGCACAGACACTGCCAGCCCATCTTGTGCCTGCCCAGAGGTTCACACCAGGGCCTGGTTAAGACAGAGTTGAACCCTGGTTACTCAGACTTTCCGGGGTGAGGCGGGGACAGACTATCCTGTTGGCTCTGTACAGTCTGACGAGTGGTCCCTCCAGCTCACCCTGGCTGATGTGTGTGCCCCGTGACACCCAGTAAGATGGGTGTGTCTAGAAGAGAACCAAACAGGTGGCCCTGGACAATTCACAACCAGCTAAGCAGGTTCCCTCCTGCATCCAGTGCTGCATGCCAGCTGCACCAGCGGCCTGTTCGGACTGCCAGGCCCATTTAGGATAGTTTTCCTGTGCTGTCCATTGAAGGGGTGGGGCCCCTGGACAGCCACAGCCTTCTCTGGGTAAAATTATTCGGCCACAGTTTCTGCTATTAATTTTAAATGACGGAAGAATCAAGGATCCACTGTTAAATCAGTGCCAGAACCTTCCACTCCAGTGCTGAGCATGGTGAAGGTCTGAGCCTCCTGCCAAGAAAAACAGAAACCTGGCAGCTCCCATGGCAGGCCTGCAGGGAAAGGTGCACACGTCACAAGCGAGCTCCGGCAAGGGCCCAGCGAGCCATGCAGCGTCTGGTTCAAGAAGTAACCAAAGTGATTTCATCTACATGCAGAAACTAAAGAACAATATAAACAAACAAAACA